CAAATTTTGTTCCATGTTTCACTAACCGCCATAAAAACCTCTCCTGGTCACTGCTTTCCTAGGGGGTCTAGAAAACCCAAATGCTTTGCAAGAGTTTTGCAGGTAGCATAAAAGAGTAAAGGGTCAAGCTGTAGAATTAGTGTAGGAAGCAAGTGGAGTGGTGTCAGACTAGAGAGCATATCTCCAGTCTAAAGATATTTAGATTTTTTAATGGGCCTCTCCAGTCCACTACAGGACTTCCCATTATAATTTCTTACCCATAGGATCAAGTCCAACATTCATGACGCCTAGCATGGTAGGCTCTTTGAGAGCTGAGCTCTACCCCCAGGCATGTTTTGCTCTAAAAACTTCACCCTGCCACCATACCCCCACTTTCAGGTCATTCAATACAGATACTGACCCCTGAACCCCAAATGCACTTGTCCTCTTTCCCTTTCATTCCTTCTCTCAGAAAAAGACTCCTGTAGTTCTTCTTCCCAGAAAGAATGTCCCCCAAACTTAGCAAAACCTACTTTTTTCTCTCTGAGGATGTTTGTTCTCCCTCTAAGAGGCCCACTGTACCATGGAAATAACCGTTAGAAATCTTAGCTGATGGATTTTGATCTGTTTATACATCTGCATCCCTGAAATACTATTGAGCCGACTCCCTTTTCCCCCAAGAGAAAGCCTTCCTGGTTTGTCTCCGTGTTCCCAGCCACCAGCACAGGGGCTGGCCCACTTCATAGGCCGAACATGAAGTCTGTGCAATGAACTGGATGGTTACATGGTAATGAGGAAGTGGCTCTTTTGTGCGCACACATGTTCTATAGGGATTCCTCGGCTCCGGGTTGCGCGGTGCAGACATGAGTCTGTTGCTCGCTGCTGCCCCTTATGGCGGGCAGGTCAGTGCCATCTAGGCCTGTGAGTATCCACCTATTAGTCGGATGGAACTATCTCTACACGCGGCGCACGCAGAAGAAGGGGGGGCGTGTGCCACCGGCAAGTGTCTATCCCAGGGCCAGCTTGTCCTATTTTGTAGTACAGGGGCGCTCTTGGTCCTGGTCGAAAGGAGATTGGCCAATTAAACTCTATTAGAAGCGTTTGCTAATCTTTTTTAGGCCTATATCTAGGCCCCCTACCTCTTGGCACTGGTTTGTTTGTGTCGCTCGATTCTTCTTGGTTTTTGTATGTTTTTTTTTTGTAGAGATGGTTTTGCTCTGTCACCAGGCTGGAATGCAGTGGTGCGATCTCAGCTCTGCTGCAACCTCCGCCTCGCTGGTTCAAGCAATTCTCCTGCCTCAGCCTCCCGAGTAGCTGGGATTACAGGTCATGCCACCACGCCCAGCTAATTTCTTTTTTTTTTTTTTTTTTGTATTTTAGTAGAGACAGGGTTTCACTCTGTTGCCTGGGCTGGTCTCTAACTCCTGAGCTCAGGCAATCCACCCACCTCGGCCTCCCAAAGTGCTAGGATTACAGGCGTGAGCCACCACACCTGGCCAGTTTTTTCATTTAATAACTTTGCAAAGTTATTTCATTTAATCCTCATTTAAAAGATAAATATTTTACAAATGAAGAAACTGAGACTCTGAGAAGGGTCCTCTGCTTAGGGTCACACACAGGAGGAGCCTTAAGATGGGGACCCATCCTCTTCCTAGCACCCTGCCCCACTGCCATAAAGGAGTACCATGACATTAAACACCCTGGCAACCAGCAGAGAGAATATTTGTAAATGGGCACTGACTTGTGGCTCCCAGAGCCAACCAGATTCTCCTGCTATTTCCCTCGTTCTAAATTTCTGTTTACCCCTTGAGACAGACTGGTCAGTCAGTACTTAATGCCAAACACAAAACAGAATGCCCTTTCTCAGTAAAATTGTAAAAAAATCTGCACATAGCTACAGCACTCATAAAAATTCCCTAAAAAGAAAAAAAATAATTAAGGGCAGAATGCTCTGTGAGAAGTCCTGACGGTTTAGAATACATGTGGGAGATCAACATGAAAATCAAAATTATGGTCGCAAAAGTGTCCCTGACACAAAGCTACCGATTTTAGCAGATGGAAAAGACTCCTGAAATTGGCCACAGCAAAATACATCCACGCTTGTTGCATGCTGCTTGTACTGGTGTCTCCTCATGTTGGGGCCATCTAGGGGACTTCACTCACTCTAATCTAACTTCAGTCAGAGGTAGGCTAGAGGCTCACTCAGCCAAGTCCTTGCCCAACATGCTATGGCGTCAACTCTAATCCCTACAACACAAACTCCATGAGGGCAGGGGTGTTTTTACTGCTATATCTTCAGTGTCTGACATGAGGCAGCTCCATAAACATTTGCTAAACAATTTTTTTTTTTTTTTTTGAGGCAGAGTCTCGCTCTGTCGCCTAGGCTGGAGTGCAGTGGGGCGATCTCAGCTCACCACAACCTCTGCCTCCCCGGTTCAAGCATTTCTCTTGCCTCAGCCTCCCAAGTAGCTAGGATTACAAGCACCTGCCACCACACCCGGCTAATTTTTGTATTTTTAGTAGAAATGGGGTTTTGCCATGTTGGCTAGGCTGGTCTCAAACACCTGACTTCAGGTGATCTGCCTGCCTCAGCCTCCCAAAGTGCTGGGATTATAGGTGTGAGCCACCACACCAAGCCACATTTGCTGAATAATTGAATGAAGGTCTTCACTTGCTTGCTCTGGAATTCCTCATAGGCTCTTATCTCCTCCTGTACCATATTTATCCCACATTTTTCTAGTGACCCCTGCAAATTTCTAAACTCCTCTCCCAAATCTTCAGTTCTTCTTCCTCTTCTTTCAGGGGAAGCAGGGTTAAAACAAACAAAAAACATTTTTACAGGGTATACATGTATTTCTAGTTGAGAAATGGAAAGTAGGATACTCTTAGAAATAAGTTAAAATGAAAAAACCATATAGTAAGTGCATAGTGCATTCAATTCTTATCAGATGCAGACATATATGCACTGAAATCATAGCAGCTGTGTTTATTTCATAATTTAGGCATTTGAAAAAAATGGCTATGTGTTTATTTTAATGTCAGCTTGATGACAAGTTTAAAATATAACATGAGCTTGTCTATATGTTTTACCTCTTTTCCTAGATAACCTAATATTTAAATAGAACCTACACCCCTAATTCCCAGCCCTCGTCACGTATCAACCCAAGGGGGGAAATGTCTCATAAACTGTGCATTGATAGAACGCTGTAAAATATGTTCTAACCAGTAAAGTGGGAAAATTAATTTGGGAGCAACAATCTAAGCTTTGTTGTATTTCAGAAAAGATCTGCACTTAAAGGAAACAAAAACATCACATGTACAATAAGCACACAAGGTTGCTATGGTAACAAACTTCATTTTTTATATTTTACTCTCCAGTCGTGCTATAATACATATGAGCTATTACAACCAAATAACGTCAACATTAACTATTCTATGATCAAACAGAGGTCTCTAGAATAGGTCATACTTACGGTTCAAGGAATTTTCATTTTTCAACCATCTTCTTCTGTCTTTTCTAGAAATTATAATTAAAATACATAACATATTAGTAAAATACATAAAATATTAATATTTGGCATTGGAGTTAAGTTTGCACTGTCATTTTACTCATGTAGGGACACTCCTAAAATGACAGAAGAAATATAACAGTGGCTCAATCTCAGCACTTTGGAGGCCGAGGTGGGTGGATCACCTGAGGTCAGGAGTTTGAGAACAGCCTGGCCAACAGAGCAAAACCCCGTCTCTACTAAAAATATAAAAATTAGGTGGGTGTGGTGGCGCATGCCTGTAGTCCCAGCTTCTTGGGAGGCTGAGGCAGGAGAATCTCCTGAACCTGGGAGTCAGAGGTTGTATTCGGCTGACATCATGACACTGCACTTCAGCCTGGGTGAGAGAGTGAGACTGTCTCAAAAAAAAAAAAGAAAGAAAGAAATATAATAACATAAATATCTATTTATTTACTTATTTATTTTGAGACAGAGTTTTGCTCTGTCGCTCAGGATGGAGTGCAGTGGCACAATGTTGGCTCACTGCAACCTTCGCCTCCTGGGTTCAAGTGATTCTCCTGCCTCAGCCTCCCAAGTAGCTGTGATTACAGACAAGTGCCATCACACACAGCTAATATTTTTGTTTTTAGTAGAGACAGGATTTCACTATGCTGGCCAGGCTGGTCTCGAACTCCTGACCTCAAGTGATCCACCCAATTTGGCCTCCCAAAATGCTGGGATTATCGGCATGCGCCACCACGCCTGGCCACAAATGTCAATTTAAACATTTAATATATTGTTCTGTGTGTGTGTGTATGTGTGTTTTAAGTAGCAATAAAGTCTCCATGGGGAAAAAGGAGAAACAAGAAGTTGAGAAAAAATGTATTTGGTTTTACTAAATGGACAGACAAAATGAGTCTACTTTTCCCATAACAGTGTTTATGAGAACAGTTAAAAAATACCTACTGTCCTGAACTATTCTGTAATGATTCACTAAATTTTGATTTTACTATTCATTTCAAAATGCACCCATTAGCATTGCCTCTGGACACATTTAAATAATAACCAACTAATGTGAACAGAACCCCAGGCACCCCCACTAGGTTAGGTGAAATTCTGGCTTTTCCAGTTTCTCTATCATCCTTCTAACCCTCCAAGCCAGTCCTCCAGCTACCTGGAAAATGAACAGCCCTCAGAATAGTCATGTCTGTCACTGTGGACCACAGATCACAATAGGAAGGTGCTTCCAAGTCAAGTAACTACAAATCTAATTGGTAGCTGTTACTCTATCATAATGGATAAGACTGAGGGCTGGACAGGAGAAAAGATGCAATGAAGAATAAAGGAATCTCCTACAGTGGGTGCCTTAGTCATCCCCAGTGAGTCCTTATACCTGTATATTCTTCCACAAAGTTAGGGAATTACATGCAACTTTCTCTTTGGGACTAATTGAAAGGAAACATGCCTATATTATCTACTCATCCCCATCCATATATATTCTTTTTCTAATTTAAGGTATCTAGCACTTCTCTCAAGTTTGATAAATTTTATTTTTTATTCCATAATTTTAAAAATTTTATTGACACAAAATAATTGTACATATTTATGAGCACAATGTGTTTTGATACATGTGCACATTGTATAATGATCAAATCATGGTAATCAGCGTATATATGACTTCAAATATTTATTATTTCTTTGTAGTCAGAACATTCAAAATCCTCTCCTCTAGTTATTTTGAAATATAGAATGCATTATTGTTAACTATAGTTAACTATAGTCACCCTCCCTGCTGTGCAATGAACACCATAGCTTGTACAATGGAATAATATTCAGCCATAAAAAAGAAGGAAATTCTGTCATTTGCAACAACATGGATGAACCTGGAAGAAATTATGTTAATTGAAATAAGTCAGACACAGAAAAATATACACTGCATGATTTCACTCATGTGAAATCTAAAAAGTTAATCTCATAGAAGTAGAGAATAGAATAGCAGTTTCTATTTGAAAGCCATAAAAATATACCTCCACTGGCCAGGTGTGGTGGTTCATGCCTGTAATGCCAGTACTTTGGGAGGCCAAGCCAAGAGAATCACCTGAGGTCAGGAGTTTGAGACCAGCCTGACCAACATGGAGAAACCCCGTGTCTACTAAAAATACAAAAACTTAGCTGGGCATGGTGGCACATGCCTGTAATCCCAGCTACTAGAGAGGCTGAGGCAGGAGAATCACTTGAATCCAGGAGGCAGAGGTTGTGGTGAGCACAGATCGCGCCATTGCACTACAGCCTGGGCAACGAGTGAAACTCCATCTCAAAAAAAAAAATATATATATATATATACACACACACACACGCACACGTATATACCTCCACTGACATCTTCCATTGCAAATAGATCATCTTTAGTGTCTTCCAGTCAAGAGGAACCACATAGTCATCAGGCAACAAGGATTCTGTGAAAAAAAGAAAGAACTAATCTCATCTCTGATGTCACACAGATTTTTACCCTAACTGTGAAGACATGCAAACCTGATATCTAACCACCATACCGTTAAAAGTCTAGTTTTAAAGATATTTCGGTGATGTCTAAAGCTGGAGTTTGTCTCAGATCTCAATTAGTAAACACTAACCAGACTCTAATACTAGGATATATTTGCATTCTTGCCTTATTTACAAGGCCACTGACCATGAGCTTGGCCCGTCCAATCTAGCCAAACAAATTGCTTCATAGCCTCTATTTATGGTTTCCTCTTTATCCCTTTCAAGCACATGCCATTTCCAAATATGAAATTCTTGGCCGGGCGCGGTGGCTCAAGCCTGTAATCCCAGCACTTTGGGAGGCCGAGACGGGCGGATCACGAGGTCAGGAGATCGAGACCATCCTGGCTAACACGGTGAAACCCCGTCTCTACTAAAAAATACAAAAAACTAGCCGGGCGAGGTGGTGGGCGCCTGTAGTCCCAGCTACTCGGGAGGCTGAGGCAGGAGAATGGCGTAAAAACCCGGGAGGCGGAGCTTGCAATGAGCTGAGATCCGGCCACTGCACTCCAGCCTGGGCGACACAGCGAGACTCCATCTCAAAAAAAAAAAAAAAGAAAAGAAATTCTTTCCCTCTGCTTTTCTTTTGAGATACATTCTTTCTCCCTTGTATAAACAGTACTTATAATGCACTTCCACATGGAAGGCATTCCAGACAAAACTATAACCTCAAATTCTCTTCTACAATCCTTTTAGCACTACTAATGTCACTCATAAAATATTCATAAGCTTATCATTTATATTTTCTATGTGCAGTAATTTTGTTTTATGTTAGTCTTGTCTCCCCATTTAGAAGGTAAGCTATTTGATGAATGAGGTCTATTTCCTTTAAAAAGCTTTCGGAAGTTTAATTAGCGGATGCTTGATCATTGTTGATTATGATGATATCGTGCATTCAAGGTAAGAGGAGGCATAGAATCTTTTCACAATAGTGTCTTCATGCATTCTGGTGCCTCTCTAAAGCAGTGATTGTTAATCTTTTTGCATCATAGACCCCTCTGAGGAGCTGATAAAATCTACGGACCTCCCCCCAAAAAATGGCACAAAATAACCCCCAAAATTTTACATACAATTTCAGAATATGGACCTTGACTAAGATCCCAGATCTAAAACATCTTCAGTTATCACTTAGAGCTCCCCAAAGCAAATGCATTTACTTTGAAAAAATCGGTATGTTTCTTTGGTGTATGTAGGTGGGTAGAAAAATTACAGCACATAGGCTGGGTGAGGTGGCTCACGCCTGTAATCCCAGCACTTTGGGAGGCCAAGATGGGTGGATCACAAGGTCAGGCGTTGGAGACCAGCCTGGCCAAGATGGTGAAACCCCATCTCTATTAAGAATACAAAAAGAAAAAAAAAACTGGCTAACATGAGGTGAAAACACCATCTCTACTAATAAATATTAAAAATTTAAGCCGGGCATGTTGGCCGGCCCTGTTGTCCCAGCTACCTTGGGAGG